AATCCCCAAAGTATCCATGGCCTGATAGAAACTGGGTCAAATAGAAGTCTAGCCTTCGATGTTTACAGCTAACCCACTGTCTTACGTCCGGGATCATAGTCTTGCTCCACATTGCCGTCTCTGAGTGGTCGCTCCACATACGCTGCCATTTCTCCAAAGTTGTGCTTCTTTCCAGCAACCTGGTAGTACGAAGCTTAGCATCATCCCTGCTGTACAGGTGGAGCCTCTCCTCTATGAGCAGAGTGACTGGGGGTATTCCAGCTATTACTTGAGCGGCCATAGTGGACATTGTTCTGTAGCCGCTCGATATCCGCAGCAAAGCCTTCCTCTGGATACTCAAGAGCATTTGTCTATATCTCTGGACTTGGACCACACGGTGCCATACAGGAGCTGCGTACAGGACCACGGAGTGAATTACCTCACAAAGGACCGTCCTTTTAGGGAAGGCATGCCTGGTACAAAAACAACAGAAAGTCTCATACGAAATCGTTTTGGTTGTTGTAGCAGAGCGAGGGAAGAAGGAAAGAACAAATAGACAATCATGGAGTCATATCATCATGAAAAGATAAGTTTCAGGTGTTTCACCGAGAAACGTGTTATTACAATTTGTTCTTAATACTCATTAACTCGAGGATTTTAAAATAAGGTTAACATTAGGCTATTTGCTAGACGAAAAAATGGATGAAATCAATTATCTATTCACTAGCGTTCCGAGAATGCTCTATCATACTCCAATGGATGACCAATTTCAATAAATATTCAGTCTCCTCGGAACATCAAATAAAGCTGTTTTGGTTCGCATACGAAAAGACGCATTCAGTTGTACATTAATCTGCAGCATATGTTGCGCTATCGACTCAGCTCGCTGTAACGAAATTTGAAGGGGACCAATTAAAATAGTCCCTTCAACCCCTCTACAGTAATGTGATTGAATTTATTTATCAAAGGTATATTGGCATGCACCGCTTCACACGTATTAGGCTTCACGTGATTTAGTTTGTATACGATTGGTTTACGGTAACCATCCAATGCTTCCTCGGTTCGTGAAGGTTTGATTATAAGATGGGTAGACGACGGAAGTCCGCGCTAATAAATAAACAGTTATTGTTCCTTGATTTACCGGATTAAATAAATCATTAGGTGATACTTTATTCTGTCATGTAAAATATTATACAGGGAAAAATTTTTCTGACGAGTTCAACGAGTACGAGAGAGAAGTGCGAGGAGTGTGTTTCAACACATGTTAGAAAGAGATAGAAGGCGGCTGAAGACCAATGGCCATCACCATAATATTGTCTAGTATCGGTGACGCAGTAGGTCGTGTTGCCAATATGTTACACCAGAAAATGTTGGAACAGGCTGCTGCAATAGGTTAGGTTTCTGTCAAACCCAAGAACATCTAATTTAATATTTTGTTTTAATGGTCATTAGAATTATTTATTTTATTGGTGTTTTAATTTATTTTAGAATTAACTGTGATTTCCATCGATGCGGATAAAATCAACTCATCCTGGGTTATTGTTATATCTTGCAACAGTGCTGCGGAGGTTGGATACCTTGCCTTGGAAAGTATGAGATGCTGTGTTATCAAACGAACCAATGATGCGCCGTTGCAGAATTTGTGGCAATCCTGACATTCCATTTCGACTTAAAATGGAGCGCAGTTATTACCGATCAGGAATCAAGGCTAATCGGATCCAGTATGGCGTCTATAAGAACAAATAAAGTTGATGCTGGAGGGCAAGATACGCAACATCATATGAAAATTCTTATGATGCCATCTTATAGAGGAGAAAAAGTGGCAACGTTAATGTGGAATTCATTTTAAAATCCCACTACCAATGAAGTCAAGAAAAAATTTGGAAAATCAGTTTTTTTCTATCTCTCTCCAGAAGTAGTTTGCATTTAAAAATTTTCTAATCCGGCATTTACGAGCACTTACCTAAATCCGCAACTTCGTTCCCATTAAGCGAGTTCGTATCTCTTACCGTTTCCGAGATTCCAGCAGTGCGGATCGAATTTGAAACTCCCGGCATAGATGCGTAAAATCAATGGAGCTCAAGGTGTATATACTGCTGCCAAAAAAGAAACCCAATTTTCGACACCTACAATTTTTTTTTCTGAAAACTATCAAGAGCCTCTGAAACATCAAAAAAAGGAGTCCTAAAATCTGCTTAGTGCGAATCCTGCATTGCGTGCGACCACACTTCGATCGACCTAAATCTGTCCTACTGGAGTAGCCATAAACCATCACTTGACATCGACAAAACGTTTACCCCCATTTCTCAAAAATATCCCTATTTTAGTACTCTCTGGCTTGCATCATTATCAGTTTCCTTTCACTGTACTTCACATCCAGCGGATCATAAAAATATGAAATATGTGTAGGTTACAGCTAAGCAGAGTATATTTTCCAGAGAGAAGCGTAAGAGATTACTGGAAAGGATGTGACTGGAAAGGCAACTAGCTATAATATTTCTACGGATAATAAAAGTTTCAAAGCTGCAGAGGAAAAACCTTAGCGATGGTCTCGTAAGAGCTGGATACGTTCATACGAACCATATGCGGTTTGAAATTCAGCATGCAGAAAACAGTAGTTGGCACAATAAATCTGTAATTTCTTAATGGAAAATTTATCGAATGAACTTCTTCTGTGGAAATCTTTATAGCAAATATGGGGAAGGCAGAGAGGTCTTGGACGTTTGTAAGAAGTTAAACAGCTTCTCCTATCATGGAGTAGTGAAAAAGTGCCTCAGTAGAAAGTATTTGGAGTGCCTTGGATGACACTGGTTGATTACCAATAGATGGTCTATGCTTCTGACATCAAGGGTCGCCTTGGACTTACTGCTCAAACAATTTGATATACTCACTCAATTATTTATTAAGGCTATCGCTGCCTTTCAAAAAGCCTCTTCCCCGACTTATTTTTTAGGTAGCTGAAACTCAGGGTGCTGATAAATACCTACTATATTTTAATATAAAAATAGCATTTGAAGATTTCAATGTGGCGCCTGGGCGCCATCTTGTAGCATTTTTTCCAAAAGAAAAGCTGGTCATCTTATTTTGAAGCTACTCATATGTAATACTTAACCCTAAAATATAAAAGCCCTCTCTATCGAATTGGGGTATTGGCAGGCTGTCAAATTTAAGTGTTGACTTGGATTTAGCTGAACAACTTATCATTACAACGTTATATTGTAGTATGTTACATCAGTCTTCCACTTTTGGAGAATATACCTGAGTATATATACAATACAAGATATTCAGTCTTGGAAAATTGATATACCTTGTCAATTTTTTCCAATGCACTATTTCATATTTCATAGTATTTTCGGATAGATACTTTTTATAGCGCTTTGATGATTGGTTGTTGCATTATAAGCGATTCACTGTACAACAAAATCCTTTTAAAGAAATATGAACAACCGGTACGGGTATTACGTAAAAAAAACATATAAAATGTCATCTTGCAGACTAGTTAGTTTTAGCGTGCAAACAGTCATTCCATGTTTGCTCACTAGGATCATTGTGAGCGTCCATCTATGGAGGAATGACTCAACTACACGCATCATGGGTTGCATACTTTTTGTGGAGCCGAGTAGTCTGCAGCTTTCAGCTCTGAGAAGAAAGGTGGTTGAATAGCAAGATAGCATCTGGATGATTGTGTGTATCGGTCTGCATGTGTATAAGATCAGTGATAGCTGTGTGGGAAAATCATTACTGAATATGGTGCCAATGAAGTATATCTATTAGCTGTGCCCGACGGGTTATTTATATGTTGTCCCTTCTGAAGAAAGGATATGTTCAAAGTTATAAATTACGATTTTTTTTGTGTCTTCAAAAATATTGAGGAGAATTAGGTAAGGCCAATCACCACCCGCCCGCGTTGTGTGTAATTACTGTTAGCATGTACGAGTATATGACCTGTAATTCGACAGTGTGGAGTAAATGTGATTATCTCTTTCATTTTTTAAATTCAGCAAATTTGCAGATGTAATTTCCAGAATGGATAAGAAAAAGTAGATGCGCAACTAATTTCTAGCTTTGAATCTCAAGTAAGTGTATTTGAGACAAGAATCCAATGGAATTATCATCAACACATACTATTAGCACACAAATCCTCACTATGCACCTGAGCATTGCCGTTTTCTTCTAGCTATATTATACAATTACAGCGTAGACCTCCAGTAATGCAACCTCTAAAGCGGCTTTTAAATCACACTTAAGCCAAACATGGATAACTGAGGCATCATAACGTTTAGGCAACACGTACAACTACAAAACGAGTTCACAGCGTGTCCATCAGCTAGTGCTAAGTATGCGTCTTGTAGGGAAACCTACATAATGTCACAAAAAACTAATACAATGTCAAAAAAATAGACATAATGTCATCTTTCCAGATATCTAATACCCGTGCCGAGTGCAGTAACTGAAAAGAGTGTGCTATCAAGAGAAGTCTACGGGCACCTCATAGTACATATGTCAAAATCGATCGAGCGGTTCAAGGTGTAGACCGTGAAATAACAATTTCAAGGTTGAATCTTCTTCACTAAAATACGCCATTTTATTTTCATTAGATTTTTGTATACCCACTAGGGTGGGTCAAAAAATTTTTTTTTCGGTTTTGAAAAAGGCTCAGTAATAAAAAGGTGCCAAATGGTGCCGTTAGTTCATATGTAAAATTTTATTACATAATTCTGAGTTTTATTGCCTCCGGATTGTACTAAAGCATTGTGTATACGTAAACTTCTAGCGTCTCCTCGGGCGTCACTTTACTAATTCTTTATGCATCTTCGATTATGGTTCCTGTTACTTTGGTTGCCTAAGCGTTAGTGTTAGCTACTGTTTGGTTGAGTTCAAGTAGCCAGGGAGAGGGAGGGGTAAGAGTGGGGGTGTTAGGTAAGACACACGGGTAAGACAAGTCGCGCACAGTTCATCGCAATCAGTATCTTGCGTTAGAAAGTGCGGACGTGTATCGTGTAAGTTTCGCTGTCAGAAAAATGGAACGTACTCGAAATAGTTGGAAGTGTCCGATATTTGGTGATTTAAATGACTTGAAAGACAACGTATTGCCAACCTATGGGGATGTAATGCGATTTTATGAGTGGACCCGACACAGGTTGAAATACGAGAGAGAAAGAAATAAAGAGCCAACATATAAAGAAATAGAGGCCATTGTAGTTGCAAGACTGATAGAAATATGGGCAAAATCCTCTATCCCTACAGTTGAACCCAAACGAATGAAGGTAATGTTACAAACGTATCACTTAAAATGCAAAAATCTCCTCAAATCTAATCCAAGAATACCTAAAAACACGTTGGAAGGGTTTCGTCTTGGGAGTAAAGCCTTGTTTGATATTGCGGCTTGCAAGTGTCAAGAGTTTCTCAAATGTGCTTGCCCGAAAAACAAGAAAATACCTGCAAGAGAACGTGGCTTTATAACTGATCAACGAACCGCTAGGCAAATGGTGATAGGTGCCTTAGATGTTGTCACAACTACAAAAATTACAAAAACACTGAAAAGGAAGTCAATACGAGAAAATTCTAAGAGCAAACGACTGAAAAAACCGAAACATGTACGGAAAAGCTGAGTAGCACTTCTGAATCCGAAAGTGTTCAGTCCGATGCTGAAGAACCAACACAAATCAAGTTGAGGACTTCAAGTGGTCAATCTAAGAGTGACACTAGACTTGATTATACTTTGCTATCAAAAACATGCGATAGATTCGGAGTGTCGGATAGGGCAGGAGCAGCTATCGCATCAGTTGTTCTACATGCGTCGGGTTCTCAAGTAATAGATAAAAATAAACTACGCCCAGAACGAAAAAAGGCCAGAGAAAATATAGTTTCACAGCAAACTGTTTCACAAATACACGCATTGTATTTTGACGGAAGAAAAGATCAGACTCTAATGATGTCTGAAATAGAAGGAAAAAACTATAGAAAACGCATAGTTGAAGAGCACATTTCTTTGATAAAAGAACCTTATTCGGAGTTTTTAGGCTATATTACACCTGCTTCAGGCACTGCAAAGTGTATAGCAAATGAAATATTTGACTTTTTCTTGAATGCTGATATATCCGTCGATGATTTAACTGCAATTGGATGTGATGGAACTAATGTGAATGTTGGCATATATGGCGGTATTATACGACTGCTAGAGAAACGGTTAGGTAGACCCTTACAATTGATTATTTGTTTATTCCATATGAATGAACTACCATTTAGACATCTGTTCCAATATACCTCTGGACCACGAACATTTTCAGGAACGATTGGCAAAGATCTCGAGAACTGCGAAAAAAGACCTATAAGCAAGTTTAAGCCTATTCCAACGAGCTTACCGGAGCTTTCTGCTAAAGATATCAGTACTGACCAAAAATACTTGTACAGAATGGTTGAAGCAATCTCAACCGGTGTATTTCCTAGCGATTTGGCTAATAAATCACCAGGTAAAATGTCGCATGCGAGGTGGCTGACTCGTGCGAACAGGATCCTCCGTCTGTATGTTTCTGTAGAGACTCCGCCTGAAAGTCTAACTATTCTTGCAACGTATGTTATCAAGGTTTATGCTCCGATATGGTTTTCTATAAAATCTCATTCTAGCTGTAAAGATGGATCGCGACACTTTTTCAAACTCATCGAGTTATCCAGATATTTACCAGCAAATTTGAAATCTATCGTCGATCCAGTAATTCAAAGAAACAGCTATTTCGCACATCCGGAAAACGTATTGCTCGCAATGTTAACAGACTCTCAGCCGCACATTCGTGAATTAGCTGCACGACGCATTTTGAAAGCTAGATCAGTAACAATTAAAGATTTGCGCATTTTTAAGTTACCACAGATTAACTTCAATGCATCAACGTATTATGATCTTTTGAATTGGCAAGAAGATATCTCTGAGCCACCATTATTGAAATCTGTAACCGAAAAATATCTCCGATTATTTATTGAACAGAAAGGAGAAAGAGACTTGGATTTCTTACGCCTTCCTTGTCACACACAAGCAGTAGAAAGAGCAGTCAAAGCTGTAACCGAGGCCTCAACCACTTTGTGCAATAAGCTAATGAGAGAGGGATTCATCAAAGCCCAGATGGACTCGAGAAAAGCAATGCCAAAATTTGATAGCAAAAAGGATTTCTCTACAAAATAAACCCCTCGCTCAATGATTATTCATTATTATTTTTGTTGTAAACATTATTTTCTGTTCAATAAACGTTTACTTACTATTCATTCAAGACATTTATTTGTAAATTATATTCATTAGTGTGACTTTGTATGCCACGCAGTTATACCTCCTGTAACCCCATCTTTGACAATTTCCACATGATTCCGGAGGCAGAAGATTAATTCTGATTGCAATCAAACTTCATAACATGTTCACACTCATGATTTAGCACCTTTTTGTCACTGAGCTTATGAAAAAAAGGAACATTTTTTTTTCACATATAAAAGTGACCCACCCTAATACCCACTGCCACTCGCACTGCCAGGAAAAACCTAAACACACCTCGTATCAAAAATTCATCAAGACATTTAACCTGTGGTCCCTTTTCGTCAGAATCCAAAAAATTATTTTCATAGAATTTTATTGTCGCCAGTATCGCTGTCACTGCTAATACGAGTCCAACAACACTTTAGATGTAATAATTTATCAACACGTTTAAGCTGTAGAATATGAAATAAAAATTTTATGGTTGATTTTTCTATAAAAATCCCTTATCTTGTCACTCGCTTAGATGAATCCAATGACGTCTCATGTGTCAAAATCCGTCAAGCCGGTTGGCCTATACCGCGTGACATAGAATTTGTAGATACATCAATTCGCACGAAAAACATATCCCGCCTTCTGAGGCAGTCGGATAACACAAATTTGGCAGCCTGCCAGTTCGCCACCTACCTAAGATAGTAATTTTATACTATAGGGCTATAAAGTAACCGTAAGGAGTTTCACAATGGGGTACGATAACTTGTTCCATTAAAGTAAATGTTCCAAAGTGGCGCCCCACTACCAACTGTCTCTTTCGCGCCGAAACATAGGATTCATTACTCCAAATTTCAGCCTCACTTGATCCGCTGAAAAAGCAATTAGTTAAGACTTTTTTCAAAAGCACTGTATATGTACATTATATAAAAAGGCTGCTCCTATAAAAACTTACGTAATATTATGATATATGTCAGATCTCAGGCAATCTTAGCAGACCGCCCACAAACTTCCTCTTCAGTTGTTACAAGTCACCCGTATGAGTGTGTTTTTCTGATCGACAAATGAAACCGTAAATATATATATATATATATATATATATATATATGAGCGGTAGTCATTGCCAAAGCCAACGACCAGTTGGGTATAAATTACAATTAATTGTTAATTGGGAAATTGGCAAAACTCTTAGGCTTAAGTTGAGTCTTTTGACGATAAAATCAAGCTTTCGGCATTCTCTATGGAGCCTTCATCAGGATTTTGAAAACACAATTGTGATGCTAGCAAAGAAAACAGGACAGATTTAAATTGTCAGACAACTTACTCGTCGGTGAGGTTGCAGCCACAAGGTGTTTCAGAACGAACGTAGAGAAGATCGAACTTATAATCAGTATAAAAACAAAAAGGACGGGGACATTGGGTTTGTTGTAAAACGACAGATACCTTCGTTAAATGTTAAAAATATCAATCCACCCGAACAAGTTAAAAATATTACACGTGAGACGACATTTTGTTGAAACAATGGGAATGCAGTATCTAACCTTCTGTTTCCGCAGACACGTGGAGAGTGGGACGGCACGGAAAGATAATGCGTCAACAGATTACAAGTGATTGACGCGACGGGCCGTGGAACTGTACACCTCTCTCTCCAGCTTTGGGTATGAAGTATACGAGGGACGCTCGGTAAACCTCCACCCAAAATTTACTAAATTGCTGAATTAACTTGTCTTGGAAAAAAATGTGTAGTTCATATGAGTGTAAGAATGTGTGATATTGATACAACCTTGAAAAGATGGGTTATGTGAGTTTGTATTAAAAATGTGAGAGAGAAAATGTATTCCAATTTTACGGGTACGTAACGTTCGTTCGAAACACCTTGTGGCTGCAACCTCACCGACGAGTAAGTTGTCTGACAATTTAAATCTGTCCTGTTTTCTTTGCTAGCATCACAATTGTGTTTTCAGAATCCTGATGAAGGCTCCATAGAGAATGCCGAAAGCTTGATTTTATCGTCAAAAGAGTCAACTTAAGCCTAAGAGTTTTGCCAATTTCCCAATTAACAATTAATATATATATATATATAACTTGAGACGTGGTCATTGTCGTCTAGACCAGTTAGGTGAAAAATTAAAGCTTCCGCCTTTTGTTGGGTACTTCGACAAAATTTAAGCAAAGAGGACTCTTTATACTTTTTTGATTCTCTCTAGCTTTCAATGGACTTTGCCATCATCATCAGGAGCTGCAATTACAATGATAACAGTAGCAACAAAAGTGTAAAATGAATTTAAATTGACTCAACTTACAGTAGTATGTGAGGATGTTGCTAATTGTTGTTTACGTATAGGATGAGGGAAACGTCCAGTAACATGGTGAGAGCTGGATAGATGGTACAATGGTCAAAATTATACAAAATATGACAAGACAAGTTAAAAACAGATTAAAAATTATTTAAAAAACAAGGCTTCATCCTAAAAGATGCGCTCTAGCATCTCATGTTAACACAACAGGGCATTCTATGAATTACACAAGTATCAAAGTTCTTGATAAAGAATAACACCTTTCCAAACGTTTATTCCTGGAAATGTCCCACATTTTCATGAATAACAACTGTATCAACAAAAAGACAGATGTTAAACAACTGAGTGTCATTTACTCATATTTGCTAAACTGCGAAAAATTTGAGAACTTACATATCTCCCCAAATTTCGACTTTTCACAACCATAAATATAATCTGTGTTTTGGCCGATTCCACCAACAAATTTCATTCCACTCAAAATCTAATAATTCTCTTCTCACGATTTATTAACAATTGTTAATTTAAATTCCCATTAATTAAAATATAGTTTATTCAACTGCCTCTGGTCGGTTTAACAATTTCTTACATAACATTCTGAAAATCACATCATCTGAAGTGATTTGGCAACGTTTGGCACACGCCCACAATTCGTTCCATCTTTCAACACAGACATTGACAACCTTCGACCTTCTGTCAAAGGTTCATCTCACTCATTATTCCATGACCACCATTTTGTGCAATCATCAAGTGGCTTCACGATGTAATGCTCTAATGTTTTTTAAATAATTTTTAATCTGTTTTTAACTTGTCTTGTCATATTTTATATAATTTTGACCATTGTACCATCTATCCAGCTCTCACCATGTTACTGGACGTTTCCCTCATCCTATACGTAAACAACAATTAGTAACATCCTCACATATTACTGTAAGTTGAGTCAATTTAAATTCATTTTACACTTTTGTTGCTACTGTTATCATTGTAATTGCAGCTCCTGATGATGATGGCAAAGTCCATTGAAAGCTAGAGAGAATTAAAAAAAGTATAAAGAGTCCTCTTTGCTTAAATTTTGTCGAAGTACCCAACA